TTTCTCTCTCTTTCTCCCTGTCTCTTTCTCTTTCTCTCTCTCTCTCTTTCTTTCTCTCTCTCTTTCTCTCTCTCTCTTTCTCTCTTTCTTTCTCTCTTTCTCCCTGTCTCTGTCTCTCTTTCTCTCTCTTTCTCTTTCTCTCTCTTTCTCTTTCTCTCTCTTTCTCTCTCTTTCTCCCTGTCTCTGTCTCTGTCTCTGTCTCTGCCTCTTCTCCTAGGAGGACACCTGAACCCGGCCTTCTCACTCACCCTGTGCCTCCTGGCTCAGTTTCCCTGGTGGAAACTGCCCGTTTATTTTCTCATCCAACTCCTGGGGGCCTTCCTGGGGGCCGGCACTGTCTACCTCCTTTATTACGGTAACCAGATCGCCTCGGGGGGGGGCCCTTCGGGGTCACAATGGCCGCCCACCCGGGGTCCTGCAGAGGCCAAAGCCAACCAAGCTTGGGTGATCTTGGGGTCAAAGGAACACCCTGAGGACTAGTCGCTTGAGGAAGCTGTTCTGAGAATCGATAACAGCCCTTCCCATTTCATCCGGCTGCGCAACCCTCTCATGTCACACGACCTCAAAGCCCATCTTCCACGGCCGACTGGGAAGGGGACCTAGGATTAATTTGGGTTTTTTTTTTTCCTCTCTCCCACCAGACGCCATCTACAGCTACAGCAACGGGACCCTGAGGGTGACGGGGCCCCGGGAAACGGCCTCCATCTTTGCCACCTACCCGGCCCCTTACCTGTCGATACCCAACGGGTTTTTTGACCAGGTGAGGTGAGCTGACATCTCCTGCAGGCTGCGGGGATCTCGGTTCTCCTTTGCATGCTCACCCAGATCCTCCCTTCCTCCTTTATCCCACCCTTCTCCTTCCCTCTCTCCCTGCCTTTCCCAACATCCTCCTTTCCTTTCCTCCCCCTTCCTTCCTTCCTTCCTCCTTCCATCCCTCTCTCCCTCCTTCCATATCCATCCTTCCTTTTTTTCTCCCTATCCCTCCCAACATCCTTCCTTCCTTCCTTCCTTCCTTCCTTCCTTCCTTCCTTCCTTCCTTCCTTCCTTCCTTCCTTCCTTCCTTCCTCCTCCTTCCCATCCTTTCTCCCTCCTTTCCTCTCACCCTCTTCTTCCTTTCCTTTCCTCCCTCTCTTCCTCCCTTTGTCCCCATTCCCTGAGGTCCCCTCTTCCTTCCTCTGTCATTTCGCTCTCCCTCCCTCCCTCATTTTCTTCCTCTTTTTTGTTTCTTTTTTCTTCCTCCCTCCCTCCCTTTTCTTCCCATCTTCCTCCTTTCGTCTTTCTATTCCTTCCTTCCCGTCATTTCCATCTCCTCCCTCCCTCTCCTTTCCTTCCTCTTTTCCTCCCTTTTCCTTTCTCCCTCCCTCCCTTTCCCTCCCATCCTCTCACTCTTCTTCCTCCTTTCCTCCTTCCTTCCCTCCATTCCTTCCTTCCTCTGTAATTTCCATCTCTTTCCTTCCTCCTTTTCCTCCCTTTTTTCCTTTCTCCCTCCCACCTTTCCTTCCCATCCTCTCCCTCCTTTCCTCCTTCCCCCTCTCTCCTTTCCTCCCTCTCTTTTTCTCTTTTCTTTCTAACGCCCTCCCTTATTTCTCCCTCGCTGCTTCTCCTACCTGTCCATTTTTGGCCTTCCCAGGTGTTGGGCACAGGTATCCTCGTGATAGGCATCCTGGCCATTATCGATGCCCGGAACAAACGCATCCCACCCGGACTGGATCCGTTAGCCGTGGGCCTCTTGGTCTTCGCCCTCAGCGTTGCTATGGGCGCCAACTGCAGCTGCGCCATCAACCCGGCTCGGGATTTGGGGCCACGGCTGTTTACCTACGTCGCTGGATGGGGTCCCCAGGTGTTTAGGTGAGTGTTGTCCAGGGAGTCTACCGGTTCAGACCGGTTCTACAGAACCGGTTGTTACGATTCTGCACAGTTCGGAGAACCGACAAACCTTGTCCCTGACTGGCCTTCGCCCTCCCTTGGCCAGTCGGTCCTTATCGCACATGCCCAACATCGCTGACTGCATTCTCCCCCCGCCCAGTCACTCCTTAAGGTGTTTCCCCCCCCCCTCCCGACAATCAGCTGACTAGATGACCTCCAAGGTCCCTTCCAACTCTGTCAATCCCTTAATTTTAAAATTTCCATCCCTGAAGGCTTTCAAGAAGAGACTAGACCGCCGTCTGTCAGAAATGGTGTAGGGTCTCCTGCTTGGGGGGTGGGGGTTGGACTAGTTGATCTCCAAGGTCCCTTCCAACTCTGTTATTCTGTTATTCTTCCTTCCTTCCTCCCTCCCTCCCTCCTTCCTCCTTTCCTTCCCTCTCTATTCCTTCCTCCCTCTATCATTGCCATTTCCTCCCTCCCTTTCTCCTTTCCTTCCTCTCTTTTCCTCTCTTCCTTTTTTTCTTCCCCTTTCCTTCCCTCCCTCGTTTCCCTCCGTTACTTCTCCTTCCTTCCTTCCTTCCTTCCTCCCTCCCTCCCTCCCTCCTTCCTCTCCTTCCTCTTTCCCTCTCTCCCTTCTCCAACACTGGAGTTTTTCAAGAAGAGACTGGACCGCCATCTGTCAGAAATGGTCTCCTGCTTTGGGGGGGTGGGGGTTGGACTAGATGACCTCCAAGGTCCCTCCCAACTCTTGTCAATCCGTTAAAGGTTGCCTGTATTTGCCGCTCACCCTCCTCTCTCTTTCTTTTTGGCTCTTCCAGTGCCGGACATTGTTGGTGGTGGGTTCCCATTGCGGCCCCCATGTTGGGAGCCACAGTCGGGACAGCAGTCTATCAATTCGGAGTCGAGTTTCATCACCCGGCAGATCCAAAAGAGTCGGAAAACCCGATCCCGGAAAAACTGGAACTGGGACGGGAGAAAGAAATGGACCTTCCTGTTTATGTCGTGAACACCTATGCTGAAAAGTGGACAGGTACTGGCCTGGAGTCTCACTTGGCCGCTCACCCCCAAAATGAAAAGCTCTGACCAGGACGCTAAGAGAGGCAATTTCCTCCTTCGTTCCTTTTGGATATATCGTGGGGTGGGTGGGCGGGCACATCTTCCTAAATTTGGGGTTTTGTAACCATCAACACCTTGAGGGGGTGGGGGGAGATTGGAAGGGCGGCTGAAACAGACGTCGGGTATCTGAGGAAGGCGCCCCCGCATGAAGAACATCCTCGACTGCCAAAGACGGCGTTGGGCCCAAGCGGGGCCTTTTCGGTGGCGGCCACTTCACTGCGTACAAACCAGCAAGAATTATTTCGCTGGTCCCGTTTTTGGGGTGAAAACGGGGCATCTAAATCCCCCCCCCCGAGGCCATTCCAAGTTTCCAACGAGCATCTCTGGGTTCCGCCAACCCACGGCTACGTCCGTTCTGACCTCGGCTTCCCCCCGAAAAGCGCTAAGCGGACTCTTTGTCCCGGCAAAACCCCTTTTACTAAATGAAGGTGAATTTCTTGCGTTCACCCTTCAGGCCAAAGGCCTGGCCAACGGTCTTTCTAGGGTGTAATTATAAGCACCGACCTTATCTAGCTGTCTCAACTATTTCCAAGCGCAGTGCTGACAAGGAAGGCCTCGGCACAGAGTCTCCGAGATGCACAGACAGATCTTCCCACGGCTGCAAGGAAGGAATTGTTTCCTGCAAAAGCCCCCCTCCCCTTTCGCTCCTCTTTTAACCCCCGTGGGAGGGGCCATTCACCATCCGCCTGAGCTTTTACTCCTGGAATCAACCCTTGTTCCTTAGCTGTTCCCTTCATCTGGCAGCTCTGTGCATGAGCACACTAGGAACAGGCTCCAGCTGTTCTTCTTCCACTGATCTCCGACTCGAAAAGCAGCTGATAACTGTCGGACAGCTCTGGTCCCATCTCTGCCTCTGACGCAGAGCCCTCGTCCGAGCCTTCCTCAGGCTCCAGGACTGGACCAGTTCCCCGCCCCCGCTGCCCCGCCCTCCGCACAACCTCCTCGCTGTCGGAATCTGCTGCCAGCGCCGCCAGCTGCCGGCAGGCCACAACAACGTTGCCAGTGTCTTCCTGGGAAAACCGGCACCAAAACGGGCACGATTGGGCAGGCTAAAACTCTTCCCCCCACCCCCACCCCCGCGCTCCGATTTCCCGGGATGGTTAAGACGTTGCCTCCTTTTTCGTGTCGTTAAGAGGAACGTCGGAGATCTGAGCTGAGTATCTTTGGGAGGGGGGTGGGGGTGAGGTCTCCTAAAGCGCCCGTGTGTCGGAAATAAATTATTTATTTTCACCTCAGCATGTGGCAACAAGTCGTCCTTGACTTACAACCATTTGTTTAGTAACCATTTTGAAGTTTACAATAGGCACGGATGGTCGCATCCCCCATGGTCGTGTGAGCCAAATACAGGGGCTGGACAACAACTGACTCGTATTTATGACGGTCGCAGCATTCCCAGGGTTGCGTGATCCCCTTTTGCAACCTTCGGACCCTACAAGTCAAGGGGGAAAAAGCCCCGATTCACTCAACGACCGAGTTATTGACTTATCGGCGGCGATTCTCTTAACAACGGTGGCAAGGGAGATGGTAAAACTCACCCATACTTAACCGCAGACATTTTGAGCTCGATTGTGGTCATAAAGTCGAGGACTCTCCGTATTCGCCCTCGAAGACACGGCCCTATTTGAGAAGGGAAGTCGAATGGGGAAACCGTGAAAGCAACGCTCGGGTCTCCCCTGGCTGGACCCACACATTTCAGGAGCTCCAAGTTGAAAATTAAACCGCGGCTGCGACACAACCATTGTGTCAATGCGCAAGGCCGCAAAATGTCGCATCCGACGGCCTCCGGGAGGGAATAAGGAAGAGAAATAAGGATATAAAATGTAGGGTAGAGCCTGTAACCCAGATTGCCAGCTGCCTGGTTGGTTATTGCTGGCAGACGGATGCAGGGCTAGATCCATCTCCAACCGGTTGGGTAAAGCAATTTTCAGGAGACAGAAATCCTAAGTGAAGCCTCTTCAGCCAGGAGCAACCTACCACATAAGTGGAAATAAGTCCCTCCCGCTTTTTAAAACCTTTTTTATTGTTTTTTTATTTATTTTTATTTTTTATTGTTATTTATTTTTACTGTTATTTATTTTTACGGTTATTTATTTTTATTTCATTTTATTTCATGCAATTTTATTTTTATATTATTATTATTTCCTGAGCTTTTGGGATGCTTCTGGTTGGCTCTCTGAGAAGTAAAGATGATTTATTTTTATTTTTATTTTTATTTTATTTTATTATTTTATTATTTTATTTATTTTATTATTATTATTATTATTATTATTATTATTATTATTATTATTATTATTATTATTATTATTATTATTATTATTATTATTAT